TATTTATTAGAATTATTATAATATATTTATTATACTAATTATTATTATAACTATAATAATTATAATTATTTATCACAATTATTGTAATATATTTATTATAATAATTATTATTATAATTTTTTATTGCAATTATTATAATTATTATAATATATTTATTATAAGAATTATTATTATAATTATTTATTAGGGGAGAGTGGTCCTAAGTTGGCCGTGGGCCTAAGTTGACACCCTGCATTTCTCAGAGATGGTATACTGGACGAATCTATAATTTTGTGGTATGATATATTGATAAACCATGATATAATTTATGGACCTAATTATAATCTAAGATTCTTCTACGCATTGTGAGGACAATAATATTGTTTTTGACCAAAAAAATTTGATTTTTCTTGTTTTTTTGAGAGCAGCTACAAGAGATAAATAATTAAAAATTTCTAAATAAGTGTGTGCGCTAGTTCCTTTATTTAATGTTGTAATAAGAGGTTCTGTTGATTTTTTAAATAAATTTTGTTTATTAGCGTAATAATTTGAAACTTGTAAAAATCTACAGTGGTCCTAAGTTGGCCACCTATTGTTTTTGTTTGTTTTTATTTATGTTTTATTTCTTTTTTGTGTTTTTTATCACGAGAAAGACCGTAAAAGTGTAACGTAGGAATTAAACAAAGACAAAAAACAAAAAAAAATGGTTTAAAAAACATTAGAAAAAATGAAGTACAAAAACGCCTGTCTCTACAGCCATCCACCACTGTAAATAAATGAAATAAAATATTGCTTCATTTTCTAAACAAAAATAGTTAAATAATGCGTTTTTATTCTCCTAAATGTATCAAATTTGTAAAATTTCTGCGTAATTGAAAAGAATATGCATTTCTTCCTTATACTCAAGCGAAAAAAGTGGTGGCCAACTTAGGACCAGGGAGTGGCCAACTTAGGACCGCTATTTCTGAAATGTCCAAAATGCAGCTTTTCACGATTTATTGTATTAAGACTACAAAAGTCATTCTATAACGTTCTAAATACCACAAAATTATAGCAAAACGATCTCTGAACACTAATATATACTTGCCGAAGTGATTAAATTTCATTTTGTTACTATTTTCGACCAATTTGCTTAGGCGGCCAACTTAGGACCACTCTCCCCTATAATAATAATTATTTATCACAATTATTAAAATATATATATTATATTAATTATTATCAGATTTATTTGTTACAATTATTATAATTAGAAGTATTATAATTATTTATTATTAATTAAATTCTGCAACCCGTGTAATGCTCAAATAATTTGGCAGAGACATCTACAGGATTCATTTTATAACTTATTTATACAATTTCCCTTCTATTGAAATCGCTACTCTTGGCTCCAAAATGCTGATCGTCTTTTCTTTCTGTGAATTGCTTTTTCTGTGAATTGACAACTTAATCGTCGAATGCTAAAAACATCGAATCGGCATTTAGTCGAATGCTAAAAACATCGAATTGTCAATACGTCGTATGTTCAAAACGTCGAATTATCAATTTGTCGAATGTTAAAAACATCGAATCGTCAATACGACGAATGTTCAAAACGTCGAATTATCAATTCCTCGAATGTTAAAAACATCGAATTGTCAATACGTCGAATGTTCAAAACGTCGAATGATAAAAACGTCGAATGGACAAAACATCGAATGTTAAAAACATCGAATCCTCATTTAATCGAATGCTAAAAACATCGAATTCTCAATTTGTCGAATGTTCAAAACATCGAATGTTCAAAACGTCGAATGCTAAAAACGTCGAATGTTCAAAACGTCGAATGCTCAAAACGTCGAATCGTCATTTAGTCGAATGGTAAAACCATCGAATAGTCCATTCGTCAAATGCTCAAATAGTCGAAACGCCATCAGTTCGAATTATTAAGTAGTAGAATGGTAAAGTTGTCGAATGTTCAAAACATCGAATCGTCATTTAGTCGAATGCTAAAAACATCCAATCTTCATTTAATCGAATGCTAAAAACATCGAATTCTCAATTCGTCGAATGTTCAAAACGTCGAATGCTAAAAACATCGAATCGTCAAAAGTTCGAAAAAGTTCTTTGCTTTCAGTAGACATTAACTTAAAACAAAGAACTTTTTCGAACTTTTGACGATTCGATGTTTTTAGCATTCGACGTTTTTATCATTCGAAGTTTTGAGCATTCGACCAATTGACAGTTCGATGTTCTGAGCATTCGACGTTTTTATCATTCGACGTTTTGAACATTTGACTACTTTACCATTCTACTACTTGGCAATTCGAACAGATGGCGTTTCGACTACTTTACCATTCTACTACTTGACATTTCGAACAGATGGCGTTTAGACTATTTGAGCATTCGACGAACTGACTATTCTATGTTCTGAGCATTCGACGATTTGAGAATTCGATGTTTTTAGCATTCGACGTTTTGATCATTCGACGTTTGAAACATTCGACGAATGGAAAATTCGATGATTTAAGCATTCGATGAATTAACAATTCGATGTTTTTATCATTCGACTAAATGACGATTTGATGTTTTTAGCATTCGACGTTTTTATCATTCGACGTTTTGAACATTCGACGTATTGACAATTCGATTTCTTGAGCATTCGACAAATTGACAATTCGACGTTTTGAACATTCGACATGTTGACGATTCGATGTTTTTAACATTCGATGAATTGATAATTCGACGTATTGACAATTCGATGTTTTTAACATTCGACGAATTGATAATTCGACGTTTTGAACATTCGTCGTATTGAGGATTCGATGTTTTTAACATTCGACGAATTGATAATTCGACGTTTTGAACATTCGACGTATTGACAATTCGATGTTTTTAGCATTCGACTAAATGCCGATTCGATGTTTTTAGCATTCGACGTTTTGTCCATTCGATTACTTGGCATTCGACTATTTGATCATTCGACGACTTGGCGATTAGGGGATATGCATGCGTCTCTCTGATTCTATGTAAGTTGAATGTAAGTACTATTCACAGTACCAATATCTCCATCTTAAGTTGAGTTCATAACGTCAAATCGCTAGTGAGCGGCTTTACCCAGGATTGGAAAATAACGAGTCATTTTTGGTTTCTGATTTAGATTACGTAGAATAAGTAATTTACGTAGACAATGTAGAAAACTAATGTTATTTACATTTTCAAGATGGCGGCCATTAAAAGACTAAAAAAACATAACATAACCTCTTGAAAAGTTTGCTTTTCAGGTCATAAAACTCATAAAACTCTTGACGTAAATTACCAAGTAATCTACATGTAAACAACTATACGTAGATTACCTTAGGTAGTTTACGTTTCCAACCCTGGGTTTACCCCAGTCTCCCCTATACTTTGTACGTTTGTAAATTAATATTTGAAGATTTTGTGTTCAAGATGTATAGATCTGCATTAATTAGAATTCGACTTTTAAATTGTGACGTGTTATTCTCGATTTAGCGAATAAGAACCGAATCGACCGCTAAATCGAGTTTCTGGTGTATATATATATTTTATCATTTGTTAGATAATGATTTTACACAGTATTTACAAGAAATATATAAAATTCATGAGGAACACACAGAAGGAGAAGAAATAACTGATGAATATTCCTATTCACAAGTTAAAAGTAATACTTCTTGTCTTGGATATACTTACAGTTGTTTACACGATAAGTAACCATTTACACTCAAATCTCGCTATAACGAGAAGTTCGGGAGTCAAGTCTCCCTCTATTACGAGCGCAATTCTTCATTCATTTTTTTTTAGTATTTACAATTTTTATAATGTCAAAATTACAAACGTAACCTAGTTTAATTTGAACTTTAACATACAGAAATTTATATAAGCTAAAATTTTAAAGATATTCGACTCATTGATATAATTTCAAATAAGAAATGACTTTTTATGACTTTTTTTATTTTTATTTTATATAAATAATATTGATTTTAACCAAATTTAATCCAACTGAATGTGCATTTGTTTATAAATAGTGGGGGTAATCAGGAGGAAATTTTTCTCGCTATACCGAGAGACAGAGCCCTCGTTATAGAGAGCGCTCGTTATAGAGAAGGTCGTTATAGCGAGATTTGAGTGTACGTTAATAAAGTCCCAGCAAACACTGTTACAGATCTGTTACAGAACTGTGACAAATAATTGAAGAACATGTGATGTAACTGGTGACTCACAGGGGACTCACTGGGTACGCAAAATGTCGTAGTCAGAAGGTTGTCACAGTTAAGTAACAGATCTGTAACATGGTGACGAAGATACTTGTCACAGTTCTAGAACAGTTACAAATTTCTGTTACTCATATCTGTCATTAAAAAATATTTTAATTAAAATTAAAAAAATATTCCACGCTGTTCTCGCATGTCATACATACCCGGAATATTTATACATGTCGACCAACTGCGCCACGGAGGCTCATGAAAGGAAGTTTAGAATTTACATATATAACGAAGGAACTATGAAAATGTGCTTTGTAACTTGAAAAAGGATACTGTATTTGCAACAATAGTATAATTATGTTATGTATAATATACATTATATTTAATAATGTTAATTGAAAAATGTAAATTTTCAAAGTTACAAGCATAAGGAAAGGCTTAAAAATTACTTTTTAAATGAAAGATTAAAGCAATAAATTTAAGCTTAATTAATGAAATTTCTACATTTTTATAACAAATTTATATTCTATAATTTTTCATTTAAATATAAATAGATTTTACAAAATTCTTTGTGAAATTAATTTATCAAAAAAATTTGCTATTACGAATAATAATAATGTCAAACAATTAACGAATAATTACATTCTCGATTACATTACATGCACCTTTAAAACATTTATGAGACTTTTATACATAATAATATTGTTTAAATAGTCACTAGAAGAATAATAAAACTGAAGAAAATTTAAAGATAGAGTAAAAAATGCTACTGATAGTAGTATAAAAGAAATAAGAAAGCAATTTGTTGTCAATAATTACTATATGAGTGATTCTCCACAAAGTGGTAACTTTTGAATATGTTAAAATTTTCTTTTTTAATTAAATTTTTTGGAAATTTTTTATTTAGATCTTTTTAATAAAGCTTGAAAATGATTATTTTATAGATATTTGAGTTTAATTCTTTCTTTAGTTTTATATACAAACAATTTAAAAATTTGTAGTTTAAAGGTTAAATAATTTATTTGAAAAAGTTAATTTTCGACTGTGAATAATTATAAATAGTGTAAATAAGCAAATAATTACTTTAAACTGCTTTAATAAATAAATAAATAATATTTTTACTCATACCTGTTATTGAAATTACTTGTTTTGATACAGGTTAATCGAGGTTAATAATATTTATTCAAGAAAACAAAACACTTCCATTACGCGAAACGAAATTAGGAACTGGAGTTTACAGGAACTGGAGTTTACAAATCAAAGAAAAAAATTCATTGAAACCGTAAAAATTCATAAAAATAAACAATTTTTGCAGATTATTAAAGAGATTTGCTTACTCTAAATCACTATTATTTTTATTTTTTTTTATACATTTAGAATTCGGCAATTTTGTCGGGTATGGAGTTACATACCATTAAAATACGCTATAAAATAATAGTAACTTTTGTAGTTTTAAATCTAAAAATTATATTTCTTTTTGCAAATTTAACATAAATACAACTTATTAACTTAATAATATTAATGGCAAATAAAATCGCACTAAAAAAGGGAATAAAATTAATGAAAATCAATGAAATTGTAAACTCCAGTTCTAAATAAAAAAAGATTGGGGAAAATATTAAAAAAATATTTTTACACAGATTTTTTAATGGAAATTAGAAAACGACACACTAAAACTTAGTTTTTGAGATGAACTTTCGAATAGAATAAATAAAAAAACGCTTAAAATAAAGTTTGTGCAAAATAAAACATATTAAACTTCATGATTCATGTGTGGAGAAACGACAAATGTGCATTTCTTGAACATTTGCAATTGAATTACAACTTTTGTTTTAATTAAAAAAATTTTTTCGATTAGGATATTACTAAAAAACATATTGCAGATTAATTATGCAAAAGTTTGAAGTAGATTAGATAACAATTTTTCAAGTTATTAAATAGGAAACAGAGGGGAAGCAAAAGTGACCACTTAATGAAGAATCACCCATATCGGTATTTTTTATAAATTATTACGAATTATATTATATTATATTAAAAATAATATGAACTACACCAAATTTGTTAGAAGAGTTTAACATTGTTCGGACAATGTTAAACTGTATATTACAGAACTGCATTGCAACAGATGTTTAGACCAATTACACAACAATGTTTATACACAGTTATAGAACAAGGTTGGAACAACAGTTACAGAAAATTTGCGACATTAAAGTTATGTAACTCTTACATCACATTGTGATAGAACTGTGACATAAGCATAATACAGAACTCTTCTGTAACTAACTTGTAACTATGTTCTAGAACTCTGTTACAATCAGGTTCTATCACAGATCTATAACTAGTTAAGAACAAATGTTCTATAACACTGTAACCTCACTTATATAACGTGTTTGCTGGGGTAAATCAAACATGAACTAATTTTTCATTTTTATGATAAAAAAGCCTTTAATACTTAAAGAAACTTACAGAAAGCATTCTGCAAATAATAAAATACATTTATAATTATTGAATGTGAAAGTAAATATATTTCATGTAAGCTTAAAGAGGTTTGTTTTGTCATCAACGAGATTTTGCAAGACATCAATTTTGGAAAATGGTTTATAAAAATTTTATTAATTATTGTACACGGCGTTAATTATCTTAATTCGAAACTGAGAACAATAAAATATGAATATTAAATGCGAAAAATGAATTTAAGTAATTTTAGAGTTCAATTTTGAGGGTTAAAAAGGCTTTGATGGTCAATGATATGCTTTAAAATTGTCCTTAAGTTTTATACATTGATTGTTAAAATTTATTTACTGTTTGTGATATTTTTTTCCATGATTTTGTTGTTAAAATGGATATAATGGTAGGGGGACACTTTTCCCAATCTGCATTTCCCAATGGTTTTTTTCCCAATGGATGTTTTTCCCAATGATCATTTTTCCCAAAGATCACATTTTCCAAAATTTTGTTTTTTCCCAAAATCTTTTTTTTCGCAGTGAACATATAAGATGTATAATAAATAAATTTGTTATTCATTTGTTATTCATAACCATTCGAATTGTGTCAAAATTTTTAGTACATAAATAAATAGTTCTAAGTATTTTTCCATTTTGCGTTTGTCAATTAGCGGTAGTAGTTTAGTTCATTTACACTTGTTTTACGCTCATTAAATGCAATACAAGAGGAGAATAGTTATAAAAAAGGATACAAAATATAAAATACATTAATTCAAAGAGAATTTAAGACGCAATCTCCACAAGATATGAACTAAATTATCCTTACCCTGATGGCAGCAAAGACAGTCACTATCCGGTATTTATTCGACAAATGTAAAAATTGTGAATTATTATCTATGTAAAAAGTCTTTTAAATGGTAACGGTAATCTAGACCGTAAGTATTTTTGGGTTCTTTCGACACGCGGAACAAACTCTTGGAAGCCTTGGTAAACTTATCTTAGAAATTTTTACAATCCAATTTAATATGAGTGGAACAATTTTATGAGAGAGATGGAGAACTCCTGATTCTAATCTTACCGCATAGTCCGGTGTGTTGATGAGCAAAGCAAGCTGTGATTTCAAAAACAGTTGTTTGAATTTTTCAATTTCGTGAAAGAAATGGATGTGCAAGATAAGAACCCCATAAAAATATGCTTATAATGAAATTTTGTAAAAGCTTATTGTAAGTGTCATATTAGTCCACTCGTGTCAAATATATTGTCTTCATGATACTTTCAAGTTTAAAAAAGGGATGCCTAAATAATTATAAGACTTTACTAGATCAATGCTTTCGGATCCATATTAAAAAGACTTGAAATTTTTTGCTAAAGCATTAGCTGATCTTGTAAAAATTTTTGTTTTCTCAATATTAACCACCAAACATAACCACCAGATAAAAAACATTTCCTATTGCATAAAAAAAATCAAAGAATATATCCTTTCACTTTTTTTTACTCTTATTTGGGAAAAAATAAACTAAAAATTCGGACAAGGGTTAAAAGTTAGAGGAGAAATGCGCTGCTTATCGAAAGAATGGTTTTTTAAAGAAATGCCTAATGGTAAAAAAATTCTAAGGAAATGGATGATCTATTCGCCAAATAGCAAACAATTATATTGTTTTTGCTGTCGCTTGTTTGCCAGCAGTGATGAAACCGAATCTTTATTTGTAAGCGGATTTTTCAAATGGTGGAAGTTAAATCCTAAAGTGGTACAACATGAAAATTCGGAAGAACACCTTGGAAATTTGGAAAAATGGAAACTTTTTGAAACTGGTCTGAAATTAGAAAATACTATAGACAGCGAATTGTTGAAAAATATGGTCTCAGAAAAGAAAAAGTGGAGAAATATTTTAACGAGGTTATTAGATATAACTCTATTTTTGTCCAAACAAAATTTAGCATTTCGAGGACACGATGAAAGTGAAAATTCAACGAATAGAGGAAACTTTCTTGAAATGGTAAAACTTCTCTCTAAGTATGATGCTGTATTGAAAGAACACACGATGAGATTGGATCGACATGCATCATACCTGTCACCGGAAACACAAAATGAATTTTTAAATGTGCTGGCCAGCCATGTTAGAAACGTACTTATTCAAGAAATCAAATCCGTTGGTTATTTTAGTATGATGTTTGACAGCACTCCTGATACATCTCATGTTGACCAAATGTCAGAAGTAATTCGGTATGTCAAAATTAATAACGGAAAAGTGGAAATCAAAGAAGTTTTTTTAAGGTTTCTCCCGTTAAAAGGAAAAAAGGCTTCAGATTTAAGTTCAGAAATTTTTGCCAATCTTGAAAGTGATGGTCTAGATATAATGATGTGTCGTTGTCAGGGTTATGATCATGCAACTGTTATGAGTGGAGTACATGGTGGAGTTCAAGCCATCATAAAATCGAAAAACGAAAAAGCTCTTTTCAACGGGTGTGTGAATCATTTAGTCAACTTATGTGGGGTTCATTCTTTTGCTGAAAATGCATTGTGTGTTTCATTTTTTGGAACTTTAGAGCAAATTTTCGCATTTTTCTCTGCATCAACCCATCGATGGGATGTATTACTAAATCATTGCGACTGTTCTGTCAAAAGATTGTCAACAACCCGTTGGAGTGCTCACTATGCTGCTGTAAAAGCCGTCGAAGAAAATTTCGATAAAGTGATTGCAGCAATCGAAGAACTGTGCGATCCTCAAGAAAATGTAGATACCAGAGGTTCTGCACAGAGCCTTTTACCCGCTGTCTGTAATTTCACTTTTCTTTGCTTTTTATATTTTTGGAAAGAGGTTTTAAAAGAAATTGACTGCACGCAAGTATACTTGCAAACAAAAGCTTTAAGTCTTGATAAAGTAGCAGCAAAATTAGAATTGCTTCGACTTTTTGTCCATGAAGAACGAAACAATGTTGTTGACAAATCCATTGATCGTGCTCTGCTTACAGCAGAAGAGTATGGCCTTAAAACAGAAAGAAGGGTTCGCTTCAGGAAGAGAATGGCTGGAGAGCAAGCAAATGATGCTGGCCTTACATTGCAGGCAGAAATTAGAAGATCTATGATTTAATGCTTGGATAGATTTCATTCAGAAATCGCAACGAGATCAAAATCTATTCAAGATATATTATCAACGTTTGAAGCCATTCAAATTGATAGTATTTTGTATGCAAGCGAAAAACAATTGAAAGACACACTAAGGAAACTTACTGATTTTTATGACGAAGTAGTAGAAGCTGAGCTGTTGTTGGAAATTCCCAGGTTTCGCAGACATTTGAAAGCAGCTAAAGTGGATTTATTGGAAGCAAACCATTGGAACGCTTTAGATTTTTTAAACTTTATTTTAAAATGGGATTTTGTTGAATCATTGCCTAATTTAACTTTGTCATTAAAATTATTATTAACAATTTGCGTATCAAATGCAGGTTGTGAAAGAAGTTTTTCTAAACTAAAACTAATAAAAGATTACTTGCGGTCTACGATGTCTCAGACTAGACTGAACGATCTAGCTATATTATCCATTGAAAAACAAACATCTGAAAACATAGACTTTGATGAAATAATCAATAATTTTGCAGCTATTAAAGCCAGAAGAGTAAAATTTAATTAAACAAATCATTTATAATGATTTAAAATAAAATATCTGTTCGTGAATATGTTTTATACAAAATTAAAGCTTTAATTAATGTACTTTTTAAAATAAAAGAATTTATTTCTTTCAGTTTATAGTTTTATATAGTAGTTTTTTTAACTCTTCATTATGACTTTGATTTTTTGGGGGGAGGGGTGACACTATACAGAATCGCCCCGGGTGACACCAGCCCTAGCTACGCCGCTGCTTTGTAATGATTCTTTCAGAAAATTTACCATTAAATAATAAATTAAAATAGTTAATACATAATACAGACTAAAGTACAAGAGGGGGAAGGATATAGAACGCTTTACACGCGGTACTAGTATAGTATGAAGACAGTAACCGTACGATAAACTAAATTACAAAAACCTTTAGTAAACCATACTATTATCGTACATGTATTATACGAGTATAGCATTCTGGTACGACATAATAGTACAGTACCTGTTACCATGCAAAGGTACACGGCGAATAAAGTACCAGTACGACTTATACTTGTATTGTACATGCATCGTAATAGTACGCTGGTTTAAAAAGGCTTGCAGAAGAACACCCTGAACAACCACCTGCCCAAATACTTCACAGGGAATTAACTGATGTATCATCAGGAGTTTTAACCCTTCTAGAAAAAATCGATTGGAAGCAATTGAAAACAATAACAAAAAATTGTCTATTGTCCTCAATCATGTTTCTTAATCGTGTTCTTACATTTGCGGACGATTGACTTTTTAATCGTTATTAATCGTGCCCTATCGGCTGCATTGTATCTTATAGAAAAACAAATATATTAAATCGAATCAGTTTTAAAAAGTTTAACCTTTTAATATAAAGAAAACTTTAATCATATGCGAAATGCACCTTCTTTGAGAATTATTTATTGACTGTAAAAAAAATAGTAGGTTTTTGTATAAAAGAAATAATAATTTTAACTTTTTCACAGTTTTTCTGACATTATTCTATTATTCACTGACTTTAACAAGCACACAGGTTACAACACTCTTTTTGATTAACAAAAACAACAAAGTAATTTTCATTTTCGGAATTATTAATTTTCGAAAAAATTATTTCGTAAATTTAGATTCGGAAATTTTTTTTTCGGAAAATTAGACTTGCGGAAAATTTTTTTCAATTCAATTCATTATAATAAATTTTTTTTACGTCAACTATAAACCTTATAAAACAAGTTTAAAGCGTGGGGTGTCAGGACACCCCAGTTACTTCTTAGAGGGTGAGTAAATTAACGTACTGCTTCTAGAGTTAAATACACTGAATTCTTCAATTTCAAGTACAATTCAATCTACAGGCAATTATTATTTTTCTTGAGAGCAATCAAAAAATATCCACAGGAAATTTATCACTTGTTTCAAAGAAATTTAATTAATTCCACATGAAAATTTATCGTCTGTTGTCACCAACAGGTATTTAATTTCAGTAGGTTTTTATATTAATATATCTTTCTTCAAACACTGAAAAAATTGTGCATTAAAAACACAAAATTCTTCTATTTCAAGTACAATTCAATCAACAGGCAACTATTATTTTTCTTGAGAGCAATAAAAAATTTTAACTTGAAATTCATCAGCTGCTATCAAAAAAATTAATTAATTTCACATGAAAATTTATCGTCTGTTGTCACCAACTGGTATTCAATTTTCAGTAGGATTTTATATTAATGTATCTTTCTTTAAACACGTAAAAAATTATACATTAAAAACACTGAATTCTTCTATTTCAAGTACAATTCAAGCAACAGGCAATTATTGTTTTTCTTGAGAGCAATAAAAAAATATCCACAGGATATGTCCCTTTATGGGCCATGGACTGTCAAGGGGTTAACCACCAAAAACCAAAAATAATATACATTCAAGGGGAATACTTTTGTTTTGAGAGGAAAACTTGAGAGGATATTGGAAGGAAATTAAGATCTAAGTAAGTATCGTTTAGACACAAAAAAAATAATGAAAAAAAATATTTGTTTCTTTCTATCTGTATAATAAAAAAAAATATTTGTAAATTATTTTATTTTTTTAAATTTTTTATTCTCGAATAGAAATCTTAAAAAAAATAAAATAAAATTGAAGAATTTTTTTTTTTTAATAAGCTCTACAAGGTGTAATTGAGATTGCTGATTATGATTCTGTTGTTAATTGAACATTTTAAAATGTCAAATCAATTATTATTGTGCTCTTTACGCACTTGAATCTGTAATCGAGTATTTTCGAGGCGAGCCGAGCTGTATAAAAAAAACTCGAATAATAATTTAAAGTACTCGAGTGCATTAGAGGACTTGAATATTATCGAATTCTTGTGTAAATTCACATACTCGTCTCATGTTACTCGTTTTTCTTAGGAGCGGGAGTAGATTCTCGTCTTTTTTAAGTCAATTTGGACCCTTAACCACAGAGTTCTAGTTTACCTCATGTAAATCACAGTAAATCGTAAGGTGTTAAAATGACACGAGAATGGATTAAACTAATCTGCAATATATGGAGAGAAGAGCTGCAGTTAATTTGACAGAATGAGTTTAGTAAAATATTTACTATGCCGATAGTGGCGCCCCAACTGAATGTTTAGTAGAATACAACTACCTAATCCCTGTGTTTAGTAGAATAGGCAGAATATACTGTTTACTTTGTGTATCTTACTATCTTACTAAACAGTGCAGTAGATGTTACTGTATGAATGATACTTTCTCCGGTCAAATCTAAAAAAGTAACTATTGAAATTGAATATATTTAAACTAAATTTAAAATTAATGTATTTCTTTAATAAAGTAACTAATTTAAATTTAAAAAAAAAATAAAAATTATGAATCCAAATCTGGGTCTACTTTTGCCCCAACACGTCACAGTTTCAAAATAAATTAAAATTTCTCCAAAAAATAGATATTTTTACCATTATTTTCGAACGTTTATAAAGAGACAAATTTTTCTGATAATTTTCTTTACATCTGTTGAAAATTTCATGTTTGTTTATGAGAATTGACACCTGTAAATGTGTATAAAATCTAGAAATTACTAAATAAATTAATGGAAAAAATCGTTAAGTAAATGGTTACTTTGATTTATATAAAGTTACTATGTAATTAAATATACTTCAGATTTTTGTATCTATGAACAAAATGTTTAACTTTAAATAGAACTGACAGTAATATCAGATCTCGTAGTATTCAAAACCTGTGAAGTAAGTCATTAACATATTGAGTATATTTTACTTATTTACTTGCACTATTTGTAACATTAAATACACATTTAGAGAACAATGAAGGGTTAATTCTTACAAATAAACATAAAATTTCTGACAAATGTGAAGAAAATTATGAGAAAAACTTGTATCCCTATAGAAATTTGAAAATATATATTATTATAGGGGAGGGTGGTCCCATACCGAACCCCTAAAGTGCAAAGGCTAAAAATGTGCCAAAAATGTGTTTCTTTGCCTTCGTCAAAATTTTTTTGAGTAAAGGAACTATTTTTCAATGTTTTCTGACGGTTCCCGAGGTTTCTGATTGTCATTAATAAAAGATCTAAAGAAAAAGCGAAAATTTACGTTTTTAACTTTCTCAAAATGGGTGGCCCGAAACCGACCCCCCATTTGTTTGGGGGAAATCTCAAGAATAATCAAGATATCAAATTATTATAGTAATTAAAATAAAATTCAACAGTCTGTAATGAACTGTTAAATTATTTTGACTTCATTTAAATACATTTTTGGACCTTTTTCTGAACGAAAAGGTAAATAAATGAATCATTAGTTACTTTACTCTGAGATTATTTATGTCTTTAAGTTATGTTGACGTAGTTAAACTTGAATTAATATGATTACTTTATTTAAATAAATTTTAAGGCCTTTTTTAAAATAATAATAAATATAAATTGTTAAACAGTGTCTAAATTTCCAATATAATAGCAGCAATGGTTTTGCCTGTTTTAATTTTCGCCCTATTTCTAGTAAAATATATACGAATTTTGTTATTAATTCTTTTTAGGGTTCCGTACCCGGTAGGAACCCTATTGGAACGGTTACAAAAATGACCATGTACCTCCCCCTAGAACTCACAGTTTTACACCTAGAGAGCTAAAAATTGGTACACGTATGTATTTTCACGCGTAGATTACAGGAAAAATATAGCGAACGTGATTGGGATTGATCTTCATAGAGTTTTCGTCGAAAAATATCAAATTTTGGCCATTTTTCGCAAAAAAAAGGCATGTACCCCCCCCTAGCGCTCACAGTTTTTTACCTAGAAAGTTGAAAATTGGTATGCATATGTATTTTCAAAAATGGATTAAAGGAAAAATATAGCGAACACATTTAGTATTGATCTTCATTCTGTTTTTATCGAAAAAGTCAAAAATTTTGAAAATTTCGAAAAAAATGCATGTACCCCCCCCCCTGGCGCCCACAGTTTTTTATCTGAAGAGCTGAAAATTGGC